TGGTTTTTTTTTTTGGTTTTTCCTTTTTTTTTTTTTTTTTTTTTGGGTAATGGAAACAAATTCTAAGAAATATTGTACAAAAATATTTCATTTTAATTGGCAATTTTCATGTAAAACAAAGTCAAACGAACATCAAAAGATAGATATTTTCTTGATTTTTTTATTTTTTATTTTTTTGTTGGTAATGAAAACAAATTTCATTCCCAATACTAGTAAAATTTATCCCTTTAATTGATAATTTTCATGTAAAACAAAGCCAAACGAACACCAAAAAACACTTTTATTTTAATATAATAATTTTCATGTAAAACAAAGTCAAACGAACACCAAAAAACACTTTTATTTTAATATTTTCCATGTGGAACCAATCAAATACAATAATTTACAATTTTCAGAAAAATAATTTCTAGGCAATTCAATTCCCTAGAATTCATTTTCAATTCAATTCAATTCCATCTTTGCAATCAAACGAGCCCTTAATATTAATTTTTAGGTTTCGTTAGTTTAATTTTCAGTTTTGATTTTTATTTTTCGGTTTCAATGCAAAATTAAAAATATTAATTTTTTGGAGTATATCTTATTTTGAATATATTAATGTGGGAGTTGAATTTTACACCATAGAAGGAGGTTATATTTCATAGGGAAATATAACTTGAAAATATAATTTGATAGAAAACTAACTTTACATTTTCATACTTTGTTTATATAATTTTGGCAACTCAATAAAGGCATGTTCTTTATCTACCTATGGTCATGCCCATAAAAGAAGAACCAATTATAAGATATAAGAATTTTATCTTCGAGTCGTGTAGTGCCGAAAGTACCTATACGAAGGGAAGAACACACAACTTTAAACTTGTTGGAAGAAATGAGTGATTTGTGTATAGATTATTAATTAACATAACAAATTAAATTAATATAAATATAAAAAGAGAGTTAAAAAGCATCTTAAAGACGTGTGACTTCCCATTCGTGAGAGTACTTTCGGCACTACATGGCTTCAAGATAAAACACTTATAGCTTAGTCAACTCTCGTATGAGCAAGAAAGATAAAGAGCGTGCATGTATCGACTTGTCAAAATTATAAAAACTAAGAATGAAAATATGAAGGTAGTATCCTATCAAATTATGATTTCGAGTTATATTTTCTAATGAAATATCACATCCTTTTATAGTGTAAAGTTCAACACCACATTAGTCCAAATAATTTTGATTTTAAATTTGTATTGAAACTGAAATTAAAAATGAAAATTGATAATGAAACTTGAAAATTAATATTAACTTTAATTTTGAAATTTAGAATTTTCTTTTTACGTTACACAAGATTCTTTATGTAGAGGCATGGGTCTAGAATAAAACATTGCATGACTTTGAAGAGTTGGAATGAGATTGTGTACCAAGTTAGCTTCTTTAGTGTGAGTCATGGTGATGGGTTCAATGAAACATGCAGGAGTTAGTGGCATAAAATAAAGGAAAGGAATAAATTAAATATTAATTGACACTAAGAACTGCCTGCATTTGTTTGCTATAGCCCATGAAACGGTGCTAAGTTATTCCACTGTGTATATTTTAAAATAAGTATGTACTCTTCTTCAATATATGAATTTTCCTTAGATGTTTGCACAGCTATTAGATTATCCTTAAATTTTCTATAATGTTATTCCCTTTAAACTATATCACCTTTGAGCTCCATTATTCAACAAAAATGCATAAGCATGCTTATATTAGAGTCATAATTATACATTAGAATTTAATTCTAGAAATTAAATGAAATCAACATCCAAATAAACCATGAAGTATGCTAACAATGCAAAACTCCCATATCTATGCTCACCTACTCAAGCCACACAGGATATAAAACGGGAAAAGCCAAAAGAATGAGCTGAATCTCTCCCTCAGAGTTTATCATTCATGAATAACCCAGAAAGAAATCGAACTAATAATCTAAAAAGTGAAAAGCCTAATTGCCAAAATTAACAGCCCTTATTGTACCCAATTGGCGACTTAATCGAACTCAACCACAACTCATCAAATCAAACACTACTTTTGCATAAATTCCGGTCCTATTAAAACAGAGGTGCAGAGGCACAAAAACACATAAATAAAATTAACAAATACTGACCAATGCGGTGATGAGGTTTAAGGCCAGCCATTTTCATTCGCTTGGCAAAGGTCTCTGTGTATTTGGACATGTCAATTGGGTCATGCTGTTGTTGGTAGCCACTGCAGAGAACGCGAGTTGCAGAGAACCGGAGGCGATGTGAAGAATGGAGTGGGTGTTGAACAAGTGATGAAAAGCAAGACGACGACGTCGTCTTAGTGTGTCCATGTAAAGCCATGAGGATGCCTCGCGCCATGGGAATGCTACGGCTGCTTACAAAAGATAACCCTCCATGGAGAAAATTAATTCCTGAGTCATTGGCCCAAATTGTCCTTAAAATTTCACTTTTGGCATTGTGAACCTCAAAACGATCAAATGGTTCTTTTCGTCTGATTCCATCCATTGGTCAACTAATCGTCACTCCAACTGAAAATATTGACCTAAATTTCTACATATATCATTAAATTCCACCATTGAAATGTTTTTAATCTTTATTTATTTAAGTGGAAAAATCTTCGTACTTTTATTTTTAATTAAAATAATTGATACAGATAAATCTCTTTAAATTAATAGATTTAAACCAAATAAAATTTATTAATTTAGCAAATATTAAATAAACCAATGAATTATAATTTACTAATTTATCAAATTAATTAATAAGGTATTCTTTATTTTCTTATGTAATTTATTTAGTTCGAGAATTGCAAAACGTAATCAAAGAGATGAATTATCATAATCGAATAATTGTCGAGCACTTCTTGAACTACTATGGAAAAAATGACACAGCTTCAAAGATATTAACTGACGAGCTCATAATTGAGAGCATCATAAGAAGTTATCAAGATTAATTATGGGCATGATTTGGATTGGATTGGATTGATTTAGAGTCCGACTCAAAATTAAAATCGACTTAATCGATTTGGATAAATTTTAACCCAAATCGATCCAATCCAATTGTTGAAATCAAACCAATCGAACAAAATCAAACCAAATCAATTTTTACATGACTATTTTGAGTTTAAAAAAATTCACTTATATAGTTGGGTTGGGTTGGTTGCAATTTAAGAAACTAGCCCGTCAATTAACCAAACCAAAATGATTTTTGGTTTAAAACCGACCCAACTCAATTTAGGTCGGTCGATTTGATCAATTTTTCAATTTTTTTTGCCCACCCTAATCAGGATGATAAAGTTGAAAGTTGCAATTCTGCTATTCAGCCCATTTTATGAAAAGCAGCTTTCAAAGCATTGATGACATTGAATAATTTTTTGTTGCAATAAGTAAATCACATAGATCCTTTTACCAAGTTTAATAAAGTTATAGATGGGATCTAAGGTGACATAAATTTGAGAAAGAAAGAAAATAATGATTAAATCATATTTTAGGGAATGCATCTTTGTTGATCATAAGCATTATATTAAAAAAAATAGTATTTTATATATTACATGGTATCTGTATATTATTTTTATAGCGTAATATCTTATAAATTTAGCAGATTATTTAGCACATTATCTCCAAGTTGGGAAAATCAAGAATATTATTTGATCAAGTATTAAATTATCGAGATTCTACAGCAGATAACTAAAGAAAATAGACAAAAAAAAATTTCATTTTTTCAAAGTTTATATGAAGCAGCAATTCCATCTTGATCCGAGTGGAGATAGCATTGCAAACTTAGCATTTAGCTAAACTTTGTTGTTGAGTTATCAAAGATTAATAACTCACAACAAAGTTTATATGAAGAATTAACAATTCTATCTTGATCCTAGTGGAGATAGCATCGCAAAATAAATGGTTCATCTATTAAGGGCACAAGTTCTCCAAAAATCAAAGTTTGGATACGCATACGCCAGAAACATAAGCATTTGAACCTAAGTGTATTATGTAAACTTTGGGGTAATTCCCCACTTTTGAAACAATTTTTGCTGATTTTAACCCAGCCCACCTCCTGAATAGTGATGGAAACGGGGTGAGCCTCCAAAGCCCGCCCGCCCAGCCTTAGACGGGCGGGGTGGGTCAGGGCGCGGATCGGGGTGGGGATGAGACAACTTTTTACCTCATTTAATTTTTTTTTTTTACATTTTCAAAGCTTTGAATTATGGTATTATTAGAGAATAAAATACAAATTTAAAATGAGTTTCTAACGGGTGAATTGCCTAAAAATAAAATTATTTTTAATCTCCCCCCGCCCCCCTTCACGGGACGGGTTCGAGAAAGGGCATCTGCGCCTCGCCAACTCGTTCAGGATGGATTTTATTGCCATCCCTACTCTTGAATTTCCCATCTCCTAATTTTTTGGATACATAGCCCTTGTTTAAGCCACATTATTAGAATAAAAGTATATTTTTGAATAGTGTATTTATGAAAAATGTATGGTTAAAAATGAAGGAAAAATTTTGAATTTACGTGTAATATTATTTTATCGAAGAATGTGTGATTAAAATAGTGTCAAATCACTGTTGAATAATGTAATTTTTTTGAAAAAATATGACTCAAACAGGACCATAGATACATTACCTCTCCGTAGCAAGTGGAAAAATCAATAACATTTTGATACCTCGACATCACCTTAACATCTTTCCTTTTGCAGGGATGATGTGATTAAACGAGGTGTGAAATATGTACAGAAAGTCCTAAACTAAACAGATATGGTCAGATAATTAAACGATGTTCCACGCATCCTCAATCCCTAAGAAATGAGTTTGCATTATAGAATAATATTATCCCTGTACATGTTTTAGATGGGTAAGGTTGGTGAACAAAACAGAAATTGTCATTCCTTTCATTTTCAGATTTTTCCGGTAAAATGGCTGGAAAAAAAAATATATAAATCATATGGAATCTTATCACAAACGAACATTACAAGCAGAATCTTTATCACTCAGACCAGTACAGATTTCATTGACAACCTTAAATTATAATGGAGTAGAAAACATTTACATATTGTGTCTGAATATTTATCCGACGCACTAACATTCACAACCAGATGATCTTTGTTGCCGTCCGGACCCCACATCGATTGTATCGGGAAGATATCTTCATCAGTTTGACAAAAGTAAGTTCATAGAATTTATTAGAATCATAAAGAAAAGAGTGAATAAGTATGGATACTTAGCGTAAATAAAATTGCCGTGGAAGTCATATTATATTTTGTTGAACAAAGCGTCAAGGGTTTGATATATGTTTGAATTAAGTCATTTGTATTTGTTTGTTGACACTTTGGGTAACCCGACCCCACCACTCCTCTCACATGAGGCCGGGTCCCATGTGGAGGTCATGACGTGAGGTCCGACCCCTATGTGAGAGGAGGAAGTGAGCTCGAGTAAATCAAAGTATGAACAAACAAGTACAAGTAGCATGACCCTATATGTTTTGTGCTAAGTTTCTAAACTAGTGTCAAGACAAGTCCAACATCTTGAAGCCGAAGAGTTGCAAAAAATCATTTGACGATTCAGATGCCATACCAGTCTTACCTCCCAAGGAAAGAGAACATAAATAAGAAAGTACTCCCATAGAGATATATACCCCCTTTCGTCCTAGAAAATGATAAATGTGAACTAAATTCTTTTGCTAGCCTGATATTATTACTGATATTCGATACTGGGTCATTTATAAATTACCCTACCTTCCTTACTTCCCTTTTGGGCCAGTTGTGTGTCATTTACTCCAAATTTGGAGCAGAAGAAAATATGGTTCGTGCCCCTCAACTTCTATTTCCCCATCATCTATTTGAATCC